TATGGAACACAATTTTAAGTTGTGTTGTGTGCCTTCAAGTCATTTCTGACACTAAGGTGAACCTCTCATATGGTTTTCTTGGCATGATTTGTTCAGAGGAGGTTTGCCATTGCCTTCCCCTGGGGCTGAGAGCATGTGAGAGCAATGAGTTTCATAGCCAAGCTGGGAATTGAACCCTGGACTCCAGAGTCATGGTCCAACATTCAAACCCTTACGCCAACTGGCTCTTACTCACTGCCCTACTGACCAGCTAAAACTGCTGCTGACCAACACAGTGGTAAATTTTGAGAGCGGACGCTCTCCATGATGGTCCCCATAGCCACACACCACCAGGAGATTCAGCTTTTTTATTTCCAACAGGAACAGTCCTTAACATCGATATGAGATTTTCTATACCCTGACTCTGTCATTAAACAAAAATGCGGACTTCTGGCAAGAAGTCAGGAATAGACTAAGACTTGGGAAAGTAACCACAAAGGAAGCAGATAAGATCCTCAAGTGTAAAGACATATCATCAAATAGAATCATCAGTGTCATAGTATTTCCGATTTCTACATATAGTTGTGAAAGATGGACAATGAAGGAAGCTGACAGGAAAGAAAAATCAACTCACTCGAAATGTGATGCAGTTCTATGGATACCGTGAACTGCCCAAAAGACAACTAAATGGGTCCAAGAGCAAATTAAGCCTAAATTCTTAACTCTAAGCCAGCATGGTGTTGTGGTTTGAGTGATGAACTATGGAGACCAGGGTTCAAATCCCCGCTTGGCCATGGGAACCCATTGGGTGACCTTGGGCAAGTGACACTATCTCAGCCTCAACCTCAAAGAGAAGCAAAGGCAATCCTCCTGAACAAATCTCATCAAGTCAGATTCACCTTAGGGTCTCCATAAATCAGAAACAACTTGAAGGCACGCAACAACAACTAACTAGAAGCCAAAATGACTAAACTGAAGCTGTTATACTTTGGGCATATTATGAGATGACATGACTTTTTGGAAATGAAAGCAATTCTTGGTAAAGATGAAAGCAACTTTGGGGCAGTGGCAGGGGGCAAGAAGGAAGACATTACAGGTGGATGGACTCAGTCAAGGAAGTCATGGTTTGCAAGACCCGACTAGGACTTTTGATAACAATTTTATCAACGGGGAATACCTTTGCCTTTTCTTTTCTTTTTTTGGACCTTAAGTCAAAGCCGACTTGATGCCAAATAACAACAACCTGGCATTTTTGCATGAAAAGAGTTTGCAGAGATCTGCTGCTTTCTTTAAAAATGCCTGTGGAATCCTTAAGTATCTCTTTCAACCCAGCGGAAAGGAAAAGGATAGAAGGAATTTCAATTAGGCTGTGCTGCTATGGATGCCACTTAGCACTTGAACATCATCACTGGAATCGACTCATCGTTGAGGAGGAAACACACACACAATCACACCTATTTTCACATCCGTACACACACGGCCTGAAATGCCAATGAAAACCGCCACCAAAGCATGCAGCGAGATGCCTTCCTGATGAAGCTTGCGTTCCTGATTAATAGCAAATAAATGTGATGGAAACACAATCCGCACTGCAACTCTATTGAAGGCTGAGTTGCCAGGGAAACTGGCTCTTTGCAAGTAAAGCAAAGTCCTCCACAGCTAAACTATCCATACGCTTCTGTACTCATGTATTTGAAGAAACGGGAATTTACAAAGCCACAAACACTCTCTCCCTTTTAACATAAACATATATACACATACACACACACAAACACAAACACATGCCTAGAGTTTTGGCGCT